GCGCTCGAAGAATTTATCAAACCAATCACTGTGAATGGAAACTGATAATAGTAATAAAGCGCAATGGCAATGAAGACATCGTGAAGAAATTCAAAATAAAATGGGTATGGTAAATCAGCTGAACGTTTGGAGACGTTTCCTTAATTCTTCTGGAATATTCGATCTCGAATATTCTATTTTACGTAAGTCCCGATTCTTTTTCCGAGTTCGACGGACGCGAATGTGATTCTCTAAATTGCCGCGTTTACTATTGCGCCGTAAATCTACCGCGCGATTTAGAATACTCGGCGCGATTCGTCGTGAGTATCGGGCACCGAGAGGTAGCAACGCAACTATGCAGTACAAATAAAACCAGCACGAGAATGTCGGTAAATCGTAAATTTCACGGTTGTAAATGCCATTCAAGCATCTCCCTTTTATACCTCGTCTCGTATTTTCGCATGCAGTGCACTTCCATAACTTACAAAACTCTATCGCCACGACTACTTCATCGTGATAGCTTCCTAGATCGTTTTTTCTTCGATGTATTATAACTGAATCTCTCTCTCTCTCAAATATTCACAAGATTTAACGAGAATTCAACTTCTTTGTACTTTATATTCGAAGAATTTTTTTTTGAAAATTTTGTTTCTACTTGTTAAATATCTTTGTAATAATTTTAAAGCGAAATGTATAAGCATGAATTGAAATTGGAAATAATTGCGTGACCAATTCAAAGTAACAAAATACTTTGCATCTTTTTGTTACAATAAATTAAGGTCTGGTCTGTTCTAAGATAAAATTAAAATCTGGAATACTTTATTATTTGAAGAATGGAAATATTTGACAAAAGATATTATATCAATTATCATTCCAAACGCGAAATGCACTAATTAATAATCATCGGAATCTCTATTCATCTGATGAACGATTTGAATAAAAATTATTCTAGAATACTTTGTTAAAACAATTTTATTTTTTTAAAAAAATAAAAATGACAAAGAATATTACAGCAATTATATTCCAAACAAAACTACACTAATTAATAGTCATCAAAATCTCCACTGTATTTCATTCATTCGTACATAAAAACGGAATCGAAATTGTTCCAGAGTACGTTTACTATTCTAAAAAATGCGAAAGCATTTGGCAGAAGATTTTGTGTCAATTATCGTCCAAACAAATTTACTTCGTCAGAGTCTCGATCGAGCGTTCAAGGGAAAGTTCGCACCTCATCTTTCGAAATGGTAATCGCCAGTGGAAAAACTTGCCCAGAACGTCTTTAAAGGCGTGCATTAATGTCCACGCGGCGTTTCCATAAACCTCGACAGTTCGCGCACGTGGAATCGATTGGAAAAGGGCATAAACAGGGGACCGCTGTAGATTTCTACGATCCGGACACCGATAAATATCGATCTTTCATTTGCAGATGCCGAGGCAGCGTCGTTCCTTGCCCAGATTGCCTTATGCAGACAAAAGGTACACAACCCGCCGTAGCCGGTGACAAAAAACGAAGAAAGTCGTGGTTCGATGCCGGAAGGATCACCCCTTTAAGCGGTTTAGCCATGAAACCAATTAACCTCTCGATCGATGTTATGCTACTCGGGTTTGCATATCGTTGTTCCATATTCCCGCGAAGACAATGGCGGAACGAAGAACGACACGGAGATTAAAACAAAACAACAGACGTGAACGCTGAGAAATTGCGCGAGGTTTCTGGAGTGAAATATTATGCAGGATTTTCTTTTTAGAGGTCATAGTTTTGAGCTTTAAATTATTACACGCGTGCACGCGGATATATCAAGTCCTCACAAAATGATTCTTCATAAAATAATTCTTCTATAATTCTTCATAAAACTTCAGCTTTCAATCAGTTATTTATACTACCTTGCTTGAGAATTAGTGAAATTGTGAAAAATATACAGAAGATTTTTGTTAACTACAGAGACTTTATGTCATTTTATTCTATAAAGATGATTTTATTCACAATGAATATAATCACCAAACGAATCACCACACATCATAAAAGCAAACAATCCACAAAAACGGATACTTCAAACCCACTCGAGTCCAAGTTAATCAACACATCAGCATCGGCTGAAGCAACGAAGAGAAAAATTCTTTTCATTTAAAATCCCGCAAGATATCTTTGAGAATACGAGATCTTGCACATATACAGCTTCATTAATTAACCCTTTCTCTTTCTCGGTGACTGGAAATCCGGACGATAATTAAAAAATTACGGAGGAGAAAGAAGCGCGTACTGTCTTCGTGCGCGATTCAAGAAGATATCCACAGGAATTTAGTATGAATATATCTGGAGGCCACCAGCGGCGTGTATTCCGATTCTAAATACAGCCACCTCGGGATACCCCTTGCTGGCAGGATCTAGCCAAACGTGTTCTGCGGCGAACGAGGGGAGAGAAGATTGGCCGTCAGTCAACGCGGCAATGGAAGCATTGTGACCGATCTCCTACCCGGATCCTCCTGCACGATAACCGAGACGATCCCGATTGCTTTTTCCGCTCGTTTCAATGAATCATTGTCTTCGCTCGATATCGTATCGTATAGTATTCTGTGTACGAAGTGAGGTTAGGACCACTCAGACAGACTAGAATATCTTAACCTCTTGCGACGCACGTCGAGAATTGTTCAAATTTGTTCCAAAATTGCAACATTCTCTCAGTCTTAAGTATGTTTAAATGGAAGAAAATAGGCAAAACAAATGATAAATTTATTACTCCGCAATAATTTCTATCCAGTGATATCATACCGACGAGTTCAAACGGAGAACGACGAAATTATTGTGTACTCGTTCGGACACTCGTTATGGTCCGCAATCAGTTGCCAGAGCAAGTGGAATGACGTGCCACGTCAAGGATTTTTCGTCCCAGAATTGCAATATTTCCTCAGTTTCGAGTATATTCAAGTATAAACCCGGGCAAAACAAATGATAAATCTATTACTTCTCAATAGTTTCTATCCAGTGATATCATAATCGACGAATTCGAAAAGAAAGCGACCAATTATTGTACACGGTTCGGTCATTCGTTATGGTCCGCAATCAGTTGCCAGCGCAAGTGGAATGACGTGCCACGCACGTCAAGAATTTGTCGCCCCAGAATTGCAATATTTCCTCAGTTTCGAGTATATTCAAGTATAAACCCGGGCAAAACAAATGATAAATCTATTACTTCTCAATAGTTTCTATCCAGTGATATCATAATCGACGAATTCGAAAAGAAAGCGACCAATTATTGTACACGGTTCGGTCACTCGTTATGGTCCGCAATCAGTTGCCAGCGCAAGTGGAATGACGTGCCACGCACGTCAAGAATTTCTCGCCCCAGAATTGCAATATTTCCTCAGTTTCGAGTATATTCAAGTATAAACCCGGGCAAAACAAATGATAAATCTATTACTTCTCAATAGTTTCTATCCAGTGATATCATAATCGACGAATTCGAAAAGAAAGCGACCAATTATTGTACACGGTTCGGTCACTCGTTATGGTCCGCAATCAGTTGCCAGCGCAAGCGGTTGAGAAAAGGGATGCATGCTGGACTCTTAAAATTCGATCGTGTTATCGATAAGGTTTTTAAGCTCGTTAAAACCTTCCTTTTCATCCTTTTCTCCTCACCTTTTTTTCTCAATTCTTTTCTCAACCGATACTTGGCCCCGCGATTTTAATACTTGGAACATTTTTTTTTTCAGCTTTGCCTACCGATTCCTTATTTTTTACAAAATGTTTCTACCAAAAAAAAAAACAGTATGTCCAAGATTTTCATACGTTCTTACGGTTTTACGACAATTTGTACTTTAGACGATAATATGGGTTAACGAGATATCACTTAAAAAATTAATCTTTAAAATTTTTATAGGTTAGGATATGATAACTGAGATAGTTGATAATTTCTCGGAGGATTTAACCTTATTTCGCTAATGCTTGTAACAAAATATAATCAAACATTGTGGATGAGTTGATATTAGCATGTGATATGTTGGTTAGATTAATAGAAATTGATGTTTAAAATTTTTATAGGTTAGAATATGACAGATAACTTTTCAGAAAGTTTAGTACTTTCGCTTTGATGCTTGTAATAAAACATAATCGTACTCGTGTGAATGAGTTGATACTAGCATACGAATTGTCAGTTAAATTAGTAGAAATTGATGTTTGAAATTTTTATAGATTTAGATACGATAGATAATTTTATAGGTAATTTTTTTAGGTTATGATAGATAATTTTTACGAAGATTTAACTCTTTCGCTTCGACGCATATGAAATACGATTCACCTGCATTTTCTATTCTCTACGCTTTGCAATTATTGATTATTCTATAATCAATCTTCTCAATAGTTTGTATGTATGTAAATTTTGTAAAATTCACGATATTTAAATTGTTATAATTTCGCAATAAATATGTCGTCTGAAAACTTCTTAATAATTTTACATTATAAATTTTATGTGTAACGTATTACGCGCGTCGTGAATCTCATTTTATAATTAACCGTGTAATAAAGAATTGGTAATTGCTCTTTATAAATCAAATTAAGAATTCGATATAAATATTATTGATGATTTTTTTAGTTGCGTGATACAAGCAGTAAAGAAAGGAACGTCTTCCCTTCGACAAGTACGTAAACTAGCAATTACAGATGTAATTATCCCTACACCCTTCATTAGCCAGTATATTGATATATTGCTCGACTGACACGTGGACCAACCCACCTAAGCTCGTGAATTATTAGTCAATTCCGGGTTGCATAAAATTTCAGGATTCAGGCTCTCGACCTCTCAAACGCCATTATCTTCAGAATATTGTAAATTGCGAAATTGTAAGTCGAAATCAAATTTAAATAAATAACGAGCAAATAATACTTGATGAAAATCATTGGAATTTATATGAAGCAGTATCTATTGAAGTACGAATAAAGCTTTCGCAGAATGAAATCTCTTATGCAATTTTACACATATATAAAAGTTCAAAGAAATAAAAGTTAATGAACATTCACTCACATTGTCTGCAGCATTGACGTCGCATTCTCGAAGAAGTAAAGTTTCACAGACATCCACGTGGCCGGCTGCTGCGGCCAATAAAAGAGGGCCTCTACCATTCTGTAAATGAAAAATATATTTTCAATAAATATTCTAGATAAACTTGTTTAATATTAAATTTTAATTATTAACATACACTCCGCTATTTTAATGCTAGAACTATCAAAACGGTCAAAATTACTAATTCGTAATTTTTTAAAGTAGCATGATCTATAATTTTTTTGATTCTTGTAAATATACATATGTAAAATATACATATGTAAATATGATTTTGTAAAGTAAAAATTTGTGTCCTTTATTTTATTATAAATTCTTTCCTATTCCTTGCACTCTAATTTCTTTCTGATACAATTTTTTATGCTTCAGTAGTCGACTCTGATGTTAATAAATATTACAAGGCAAATTATAATACATCTGTACTGTTTCAAAATTAGATTGGTCAACGATTAAAAAACAGAAAATAGTGGTAATATTATACATGCATATTTTTTTAAATTTATGTTAGAATTTATTTATATATGATAATTAGATCTTATGGAAGTAGATCATTTGTTTATTGAGAATTGAATAACCATTAATCGTAAATTTGAGTGATGAATTTTATGCAAATTAAAGAACCGAAATTTAAATAGAAATCTATTTTGTGTACTGGAAATTGTACTTTGAATATTTTCTATATTTTTGCATATTACATGCATTTTTATGTCTTCAAATTTATATATATAAATTTTATGTATTTATAAATTTAAAGACGGCACGAATACATAAAAATTCGCTGTCTGCTCATTACTCAAATATCAACGATTCAATTCCCACCATTCAATTCTAATCATACTGAACTTATTGTAATTATCGTAACAAAATAATTGAAAAATTAATAAAAACTGCAGTTGGTCAGATTCTGAGAGCCTCGTTTAAAAAAGTCAGAAGTCAATGAACCGAATGAGTTCAGAAAAAAATCAGAAAATCAAAATTAAAAATAATCCGAGCTCTCAGAAACCACCTCGAGAGAATGAACAGGCATTCGCCTGAAGGGAAAGTGCGAACTTCATCGGCGAGTTAAATTTCCCAAAGCATTCTTCGTCGGTCGTGATTCACGAGGGGATCAATTAGCAACGTAATTAATAGGTACCCGCATTTCAGTTTGTAACACACGCATTTCTCGTGTCGAATTAGCTCCTAGCGATGAGACAGGACGCAGGCTTAATTAGTCGAACGGGGGCTCAAGCAACACGATCCGATGCATCTTCGCAATTAACATAGACAGGTCCCTTCATTTTTTTATTTTCTGTAACATTAAGTTTCTTTCAAAAAAAAAAAAAAAAAAAATAAGAACATTGTCATCGATATCTCATCTTCATTTCACCGATAAGAATAAAAATACCATCTTTTAGCTCAAATCTATTATTTTATCACTTTTCGTACTGCTGCAATGAGAAGTTGATATTTTTCAATACAACTTCTGTTACTTTATAGTGATTATGATAATTTATATTTATATCACAATACTATAAATAAATAATAACTCCGTAATTAATTTTAGTTGTTTATATAAAAATATNAATTAATAGCTATTTTTAAATATTCTATTGTTTATATTAAATACACATCTCGACGGAACATAGATGTCGTTGATCTAAATTCTCCGAAGTAGAGGTCGCTACAACTTTAGGCATTCTCTCAATTAATCTATTTAAATATTTAAATTTCTGATGGTGTTGCAAAATGTGTTTATCATGTGACATACATTTGCAAGGATATTTCTGAGCATCATTTCAAGTCAAGTGGCTCAAGATCAGAGGATTGAGAAGGCTTGAATTCACTCATTTTATTAAAATTTTTCCATCTTCTTTTTCTTTCAGATATCCCCGCTCACGACTCGTGAGAATACTTGGGATCATTGTCCTGTTGCACAATTCAAGTTCAAAAGCAAAAGTACTTTGCACCAATTCCAAGTTGATGCAGTTGGTGTTAGACCTACGTAGACCTCTTCTTGACACAGAAACGGTGTAATACATGGAAAGGTATAAAAGCTAGATCGAGATTGCAGTTTTAATCTCTGTTAGATACTAAATACCGTTTAATGCTGGACTTAAATACCAAGCACATTAGTACTACTATCCGCCTCTTCCCGTCCGATGTTAAAGACATAGGTTACGCAAATTTAACAAATGAGATTGTACATCATTTTGACACACGGCGAGTAACCTATGTTCGGATTTCCTGTAAGGTGTTGTGGCTCGTTGCCTCGGGTAATAGAGCGCGCTAGCACCGCGTGTTAATGAAGAAGTATATCTTATCCGCGCAACCCTAGATGCAGGAAGCGTAATATATCAAATAGTAAATAATTGCGGATATGAATCAACTGTGGCGGACGTGCGGCCAACATAAATTTCATTTTCAGCCAACATTGTGATGCCATGAAATCGCCCGATTCGTTCGTTTTCACTAAGAATCACTTCGGCATTCGTAACGTTCGTTGTCAAATGTCAGATGGAACGCAACACCTTCATGTTCGAATTTTATTATGTATAAATTTATTTTGTTATATATAAATTAAATTTATTTTAAAAAACACTAGATATTAATCAATACGACAAGCATTTAATTTCTAAATATATGTTTCTTTTATTTTACAAAAAAGAATAATATATATATATATTTAGATCATTTACACGCTCGAGATAATTAAAATTATTAAAATTAATTAATTAACCCTGATACAAATTAAATTTTACTTATTTGTTTTTTTTTTTAATTCATTTTCATTACTTTAAACTATAAATAATTTTATTGATTTTTATTATTAATTGTAATTGATGTAATTATTACTAAAATATATCTTTATTATAAAGTACTAAATTATATAAATTTTAAATTATAAATAAATAAATTTATATTTTAAATAGAGTTTTTGTAAACAAATATATATGCAATTTTTGTAAAAGAATATATATGTAATATGTAATATTGTTCGCGTTATTTTTGTTTTTCTCGGAAATGAGACACGAGAAATGTGTGACAATATTTTACGAAATTGTTTGCAATTTTCTAAGTTTTCTAAGTTCTTTAGAATTATGAAAGATCAGGAACGAGAGAAATAGGTAGAGTATTTACAATAAAATTGTACATTACATTTACATTTCAAATTGCACATTAAAACCTTGTAAAATATAACATAATATAATTTTGTCAAAAAAAAAATACTATTTCACCCTTCATGTTTAATCTAAATATTAATATAATCGATCAATGCGTATCTATAATTTCAATTATTCGCTAACCAGACCGATCGAAAACTTGAAGAATCCAAGAAAAAACAACTAGGTTCAACTTGAATATAATCTGTCTATAGTTTCTTAGACCACTGTACATTGAAAACTTGATGAATTCATAAATGAATATATTTAATTATAAATATAAATATAATTGCAATTATAAACATAATTCAGAAATCCAAATATAATTTTATAAAGAAGAAAGACTATTTCGCTCCAGGTTCATTTTCTAGGATCATACGAGCCATTTATTTATTATTTTATTTTATTAAAGTGACTCAAGTCCATTTTATAGCCATCAGAAACGTATTACTTTCTGAACAACTTTTTAAGTTTACCATACTTATTGGATTGGTAAATTTACGCCTTTAGAAACACAAAAATATTACACCACCATGTTATCAGTTATTTTTAAATTTATCAAAACGCAAACCTTTGAAACATCTTTGATTCAAGGATAAATGGACTTGGGCCACTTTCGAAATAAACGGCTCATATAATCGATCGGAGTATCTACAATTTCAATTATTCGGCCTGTCGCGTAATAAAGTACTTTAGCTCGGAGTTGGCCGCTGGCTGAATGTATAAAAACCGCACGACAATTAATTTCATCGGCGCAATTAAGGAGGGAGTAATTGTAATGGATGCATGGATAATCGGGCGAATGTTGCCCGGCGGGCTTTCAGCCAATCTTTTGACAAATGCACACCGAACACGTTTAACAGCATTCCCACTGACGGCCACTGTCACAACCCAGATGCAAATACATAACGCAATTAATACACTATACTCTCCTGTGCGTGCACTTCTAATGAGAGCCTTGCCTCCATCAATCTACGACTTTGCGTGCTGTAATTAAAAAGTGAGGCGAAACAGTCGTCCAAACTCACTTCTCACTTTTTCTTTTTCTCTTTTCCTCCTTCTTCCTCTCGCTGGAGGAACTTGTTGAATTTCTTCTTCATAGATTACGTACAAGCTTCTCAGGAAAGATATTTCTCGAAAACGAAAAGCATCGTACAGAGAAAAACATTTTACTCTATTCTAGTTTCTGTTTGTTATTCTTTATAACTTCTATATAATATTCTTTATAATAGTTTCTGCTTGTTATTCTTTATAACTTCATTTTCTGTCAATTATTCGTCTCTGTCGTGACTAGAATTAGATAAATTCAAGTGTACTCGATGAATCTTCAAACACGATTTTCTCGAGAGTGACGCCTCAAGTCAGAAGATTTTATTTCGTGTTTCTTCCTTTTCAAGATCGTCGAACCATTAATATAACAATGATTAACTGATTAATTATTACTATTTAGTAACTTTGATTGACAGAGAAATGACTGCCCAATTCTGGCCTCTATTATCCAAACAACGTTCCACTGTATTCTTTTATTCGCGATAATGCAATAAAGAACGAGAATATCTACGACAGGATCTCGTCGACGGTAAAGGACGTAACAAGAGAAAAAAAAAAAAAAAAAGAAAAAGAAGAAGACTCACTTCGTCCGGCAATGGTTTAATATCTTCGTCAAGGAGTCGCGCAACTCGCGCTACGTCGCCACGTGCGGCCGCCTCGCGTAACTTTTCTGCCATTCCAGCCACGCATCTGCAAAAGAAAAGGAAATGGACGGTCATTAGAGGAATTCGCCTCGAACTGGCTACTTTTCATGCAACCCGTGCAGATTATTACGTCAGATATGCCGGTGCTGCGAGTTTCTTTCGGAACGGAGGATCATCGAATCGGAGATTCGATCGGTTTTTCTATGATCCGTCGACTCGATTTCCTTTTCCCTATCGAGAGTTAACGATAGCGACGACACGGTGGAAAGAAAACGAGAGATTGAACGCTCCAACCCCCCTCGCGCTGGCAACCGGCAACCGCGGACCATAACGAGCGATCGAACCGTATATACAATAATTTTTCAGTTTAATTTCACAAAATGCACTGAAAAAAATACACCGTCACGCGCGTCGAAGTACTGAAAAAAGTGGGACATTTAAAACACACAATCCGAATTTAATTTTATTACATGTTTAATATTTATTTTAATATTATAATTATATACATTCAATATTTATTGTATTTATCATCTACATGTTTCATATATTTATTCATGTCATATACTAATTTTACGTTAATTAATATATTATTATTATTAAATAATATACTAATTTTACTAATATAATAATATACTAATATACTAATTTTACGTTAATTAATATATTATTATTATTATTATATATATTAATTATTATTATATTGTTATATATACCATTATATAACAATATAATAATATAAAATATATGTTAATTTTATGTTAATAAAATACACTAGTTTTATACTAATTATTATCGTTATATATATATTTTTTATTATTATCATTATATATCATTATATCTTTATTATTATCATTATATATATTTTATACTAATTATTATCATTATATATATGCTAATTTTATATTGTACGTGCATATTTTGTAATTTTATATGTATGTGCACATTATCATACATATTTCATACATGTGTGTATTATCAGGCTGGTCTCATATCTGATATGAAACATATAATCATGATAATCGCGCTAATAAAATTTCAATATGAATATAATGCATACAATATGGACATGAAGTTTTCGCGAGCCACTGTAAACACCGTCAACATAATAAAGCGGTCTGTTAATTGTCGAATCGGCGTCTAAAGTCAATTATCACTACATTACATTCATAAAATCCACGAGTGCTTTTTCAGCAACCTCTTCCTCGCGAGGTTTTATCACCGTGCACGACTCGAAGCTTGTAACAGATAAACCTGGGAATACAAGTTTCCGCCGGATGTCAACCGGTTAAGGGCATTACGCACATGGTACGTATGTACGACAGAGGAAAGTAAACAGAACCAACAGGTAAATTTCTGCGAATTCAAAACTCACTTCGTTCACGAATGCAAAAATCCCCGGCACATTCTTTGCAATAATTAAACTATAGGAAATTGAATGTCTGAGATCTCGGAACGTAATGTTATAGAATTGCTTGCGAGATCAATTTATACGTATGTTTCAGAAGGTAATAACTCGCGATGAAACATTCCACAGTGAAGCAATTAATATTATCTATATATTGTAAAAGAACTTATATGCTGTTTGCAATTTAATAAAATAATTTAAAAAATTCGAAGAATAAAGAATAAAATTTTTAAATAACCGAAATCATCATTTCATTTCTCTAAATAATTAAAATAACAATTAATATTAATATATAATGTGTGTATATTGAACTCATTTTTTTAACAAATAAAGTACAATTCAAACAAATGAATAAGTGAATGCTACAGCTATAATGCACAATGATGAACAAAAGAAAATTTAAGAGATAGAAAAATATACTACATTTCTCATTTGCATTTCTAGAATTATATGTAACAAGAACAGTGAATAAATATAAAATATACTTCAAAATAGACCATTGTCACTAATATGGTAAACAATATGATGTTTAATAGATTATTAACACTCACAGTGTCTCAACTGTAAACTAAAGTAGAATATTTCTTTTATTTGGATCTGTTAGTATAGCAATGCGTTTCACAATAAGTAAGAAAATACAAAATTCCATTTAAAAAAATTAATTTCAATATTAAATCTACTACTTTTCACAAGGAAAAATTATCCACATCGTATAATGTCCTGTTTGATAACTAAAATTTTTTTTTAATACTTTTAACTCCTTATGAGTTTAGTTCCTTAATACCTTAGTTCCTTAGTTCCTATATTCCACCATTTCTAGAATTATATGTAACAAGAACAGTGAATAAATATAAAATATACTTCAAAATAGACCATTGTCACTAATATGGTAAACAATATGATGTTTAATAGATTATTAACACTCACAGTGTCTCAACTGTAAACTAAAGTAGAATATTTCTTTTATTTGGATCTGTTAGTATAGCAATGCGTTTCACAATAAGTAAGAAAATACAAAATTCCATTTAAAAAAATTAATTTCAATATTAAATCTACTACTTTTCACAAGGAAAAATTATCCACATCGTATAATGTCCTCTTTGATAACTAAAATTTTTTTTTAATACTTTTAACTCCTTATGAGTTTAGCTCCTTAATACCTTTAGTTCCTTAGTTCCTTAATATTCCACCGCTGTAAATATAGTTCAGATAAAACCAACACCCGGCGTAATGAATAACAGGAATCATGCATTAATTATTAGAAACACGATTTTTGCGACACAGTTCAGTATAGATGAGATACACGCCTCTAGTCAAATTAATATAAACACATAGAATGGCATTTATAATCAGATCAGGTCAGATCTTCGTTAGAAGGGTGGAAAGGGCGTGACAACGAAGAAAAAGACGCGTATCCTCTATAAAGGGAACAATGATATAGACGACCATTGTTTTCGGAGACAATGGATAAGATAGGTTTGTGAGCCGAGGGTAAAAATACTTGGTGAATGATCCCTATGTTTCTGAGTCACTCCTTGCAACGATACTAAATGACTCGTCGACGTATTCTGAATTTTTTCTTTTCTTTTTGAGCTAACTATGCAAATCCAAATCCAGAATAATCAGTCAGTCCGAGTTTCGAATATTTAAAACAGAAAAAGAAAGGTTTTGGATACTTTATGAAGCTTTAATTCTTTAGATAAAATTAGACTGATTCTAAAATATTGACAGTGTTTCTTACATTATTTTGAAAGAATATATAAATAAATCGAGAAGACAATTTTAAGAAAATCTACATACAAAGTAAATGAAACTTATTCTGATTATAATTATAATACTTTACATATTTTATATATATATATTTTTTTTATATACTTCAATACATCCATAGCAATTATATAATAGATTCTATTTATATTTTTCAATAAATAAATATAAGAAGCATCATCAATTTTTGAGAATCAAGTCAATACCAATAAATCTATAAAACAAATCCTTGTCTTCAAATCTTTGTCTTTCTTTAAACAATTGAAATTTGAAAGATGTACATATGCATGGACATATATTTTGCAATTGTCTGTACTGTATAGAGATCACAGAAGAAAAACATCATAAATTTATTTCTGATTTCAATATTACTTGCTAACTAGAAAGAAATGTTTCAATATAAAATAACTGAAGAAGAGAATAATCAATAATTATATAACCTTTTGTAAGTAAATGATAGGTGCTCGATATTTTGTTGGAAACAAATAACATTATTACATTAAATATTATACGTAATATATAGTGTTGTTACAATTTATTTAACATTAATCTACGTAAATAACTAATATTATTGTAATGCTTTTTAAATGCCCTAGAAGATGATATAACATACTTATTATGAAACATAATTTAATCCCAAAATAAAATGTAACGACACATAAAATTCTAATATAGACTCGATTTGCAATTTCTCCACTATGAAAACAAAACATTGGAAAGAGAAAATTATTCATATTTTTCACCTGTGATCTTCATGTGATAGAGCTTCGTGCAATACTTCGTTAACGCTGTCTCATTAAAATAAGAACAAAGACGAGCGCATAAAATTAAACGACTAGTTGATGCATTAAGTGAACGCATTCTCAGCGCAAGCATGTAGTTTCCTCCTCTTTTTTGTTCAATGTGAACGTGTAACGTCAAGCTGGGCGGTATTTATTAAGACCTCCGCTCCAGACTTAAGACTAGACGTCCTTTGAAGAAACTAGAAGAAAGAAACGAAAGAGGAAAAATAGGATATTAAGCAAACTGATTGATAGAACAGATTACGCGTTTTTCTCGACTCTCATTTTCTTGTTATCGAACGAACCATCTCGTAAAATATTAGAAAATTATAGAATATTCGGGTTTTCGATTAACGATAAGCAAACGTCATCGTTCTATCAGGAAGTGGCGAATAGCATTGAAAGCGGCGCAAGGACGTTTATTTGATATTCCTCTCACGTAGTTCGAATCTGGAACACGGTTATACATTCTCCAATTCATTAACGAACGTAAACGATCTTCGTGAAATTAATGATACGGATGAAAGTCTACTCCAAAACTTTAATTACTTTTATGAAACTTGGTGGCGATAACTTTGGATAAACAAAGAAATAAATAACCTGCTAAAAGAAAAAGCTAATATTACGAATGAAAACAGAAGGAAAATGGGACAGTGGAAGAGCTTGAAGATGATGATTAGAAAATCTCTTGAAGTCTTGGAGATGATGCTCGTCATCTAGATATTTTAAAAAACTTCCGAGACATAAAATCTAAAAAAAAAAGTTTAAAAAATCTCAGAGATGCCAAATATTTTGAGAATATCTTGAAAACTGAGCACCTCAGAGATCCGAAAGACTCTTAACATTTCAGAAACCCGAGAAGATTTGGAGATTAAACTCTTAGAGATTCTTCAAATCTTGAATATGCCGTAAAGATAACCGAAATTCTAAAAATCACGTGAAAAGTATAAAGATTCTAGTCCTGGGAAACCTCGAGATTCTAGAGATGTCAGAGATTTCTGAAAGATCATGAAGTTCGTGAAGACATTGAGACTTTAGTGTCGTTCAAGGTAAATCTAAAATCTAACCCTAGAATCCGAACAATCGCGGTCC